ATGGACTGACTATTCTTGGCGGGGAAAGGGGAATGGGAGATGCGGGAAGAAACTGGACAAAAATCGTGCACCTATGGATGAGGACAGAGGGTGGGGTGGGAACTGGGAGGAGGGGAGTTATGGGGGAAAAAAAAAGAGGAACAAATGTAATCTAAACAATAAAGATTTAATTAAAAAAAAAAGACTGAATATCTTCACCTGAAAATGGGATTTTTAATAACCACTTAACATAAATTAAAAATAAATAAAAATACATTTTAATAAGTGACATACTGTATGTAAAATGCCTTGCGGGGGTCCTAGCATATAGTAAGCTTTGTTTTTTTCTTTTTTAAAATATGGAATGCTTGCCCTGGCTGGTGTGCTCAGTGGTTAGACTGTTGCAGGGTCAACCCCAGCCCCAGTCAGGTACAACCAATCTATGTGTCTCTCTCACATCAATGTTTCTCTCCCTTCTACTCTCTCTAAAAATCAATGGGAAAAAAATATCCTCGGGTGAGGATTAACGATACATACATACATACATATATACAGAATGCTTCACAAATTTGTGTGCCATCTTTGCACAGGGATCATGCTAACCTCTGTATCGGTCCAATTTTAGTATACTAGCATGTGCTGCCAAAGCGAGCACTAGTAAGCTTTCAATAAATGTTAATCTCTTTTCTCTCTGTGTGTGTTCATCCCAATATAAAATAATTCATACCTCCTTTGCTGTCCAGTAAAACTTCTTTTGTGAAAACAAAATGTGCACATCATACATCCCACTTTGTCCTATAGCGTTGTTGTTGTTATTGTTGTTGTTAATCCTCACCCGAGGATACTTTTTCCATTGATTTTTAGAGAGAGTAGGAGGGAGGGAGAGAGAGAAACATTGATGTGGGAGAGACATATCAATTGGTTGCCTCCTCAGAACTCAGGAATGAACCTGCCACCCAGATACCTGCCCTTGATCAGTAATCGAACCCGAAACCTTTCGGTGCTTGGGCCAACACTCTACCAGGGCAATGTCCTATAGTATTAACATGCGTGTCCTCTTTGTTCTTCAGTTTGTAGTGCCCTTAGGGATTTGAGGCTTAACTTTATAGGAATTATTTCACCTTCCCTTGTTCCCAAACTGAGACTCTTAGTATCTTGAACATAGCATATACTTAAGAAATACTTGTTTTGTTGAAAGCGTGAATGAAAATAGCCCTAGTCGGTTTGGCTGAGTGAATAGAGCATCGGCCTATGCACTGAACGGTCCTGGGTTCGATTCAAGTCAAGGGCACATGCCTGGGTTGTAGGCTCAATTCCTAGTAGGGGACATGCAGGAGACAGCCAATCAATGATTCCCACTCATCATTAATGTTTCTATCTCTCCCTCTCCCTTCCTCTCTGAAATTACTAAAAATTATATTTTAAAAAAATAATAAAAGAGGAAAGTGTTAGGACTATAGGGCAATATGATCCTTAACAGCCATTTGTAAGCTTCCTGCCATAGGAGAACAAAGGCCAAGAAGACTTGCTAGACATCAGGAATCAGACCATATAAGGAATTGAAACTGTTCTAAAAGACACCTGATCGCACACCTGCATTCCATCCACACTCCAAGCCCACCTCCTCAGCCCCCAAACCCACTGATGACAACAGTTTCCCGCCGGTGATTGCATATAAGGATGAAATTCCAGCTCCTGGGTGCTGCCATCATCGACACAATGTCCCCTTGGCTCGGTGCTGTGCAGCCCTCCCCTTTGGATATCCCATCCCCTAGCCCCTTTTCTTAAATAAATTCCATTTTCTTTAATCACCATCTTGAGATGGCTATTTAGCCTGCTTGCGTGCACCAACCATGTTAACCTTTCAGAAAGGAAGGGGAAAAAGGAAGACATTGAAAAATAATCTACCTGCCCATTCACTACAATAAATATGAAATCATTTCTTGTTCATTTTTTCTAATGTTATATATATATGGCTTGTGGGCTAAGATTTTGCTCATTAATTTATTTACTCTTTGTTTTACCATATGTAAAATTATTAGAACAGGGCCTGCCAAAAGTAAATATTATACAGTATAAGCTTTTACTGTTATTCCCCTCCCCTATCAAGTATACTTTTAGTTTAGGCCCTAGCAAATACTGTCAAATATTGTCCCTCACTTGCTGTTCCAATTGAGACAAGCAGGACGATCTCTGGACTTCTGTTCTATTTTGGGGGAGAGGGGTTGTGGGTGAAGGGAGAAACCCAGTTGGTTTGATAACAGAAAATCCCACCCGAATGCTGCCATCTAGTGTTTACTTCATAAAACTAGAAGCACCCATTCTTCCTCTCAGCAAGGACCATTTTAAAACTGTTTTGTTATTGGATCCCAGGTTTTGAAAAATTTTGATAATCAAAAGTACAACAGAACTTTTGGCAGTATTGAGGTGTAAATGAGGAACTAGAGAGTTAATATTGCTATCCCCATTTTAAAGATAAGAAAACAGAGGCCTAGCCCTAACTGGTTTGGCTCAGTGGATAGAGTGTCGGCCTGTGGACTGAAAGGTCCCAGGTTCGATTCCGGTTAAGGGCATGTACCTTGGTTGCAGACACATCCCAGTAGGAGGTATGCAGGAGGCGGCTGAATTGATGTTTATCTCTCATTGATGTTTCTGACTCTCTGTCCCTCTCCCTTCCTCTCTGTAAAAAATCAATAAAATATATTTTTTAAAAAAAGAAAGAAAGAAAATAGAGGCCTAGACAGTTTAATTTGCCTTCTTTTTGAAGCTATTTGAGAAAAGAATCAGAATATATATGGCGTGGCTCAGTGGTTGAACGTCCATCTATGAATTAGGAGGTCATGGTTCGATTCCCGGTCGGGACACAAGCCAGGGTTGAGGGCTTAATCCCCAGTGTGGGGCGTGTAGGAGGCAACCAATCAATGATTCTCTCTCATCATTAATGTTTCTATCTCTCTTTCCCTCTCCCTTCCTTCCTTGCTGAAATCAATAAAAATATATTTTTTTAAAAAGAATATACCCTGTCAAACTATGCATTTTCATCCCTACCACAGATATAGCCCACAAATCCTGGTTAAAATCCTCATAAATTTCTACAGTATCCTTGCTTGAGAACCACAGCACTAAAGAAACACAAAACCCTCTGCATATTAATGTTCTTGAAATAAATTGTACCATTGAGACCTAAACCAACTTTCAAATATCTAAGTTAGAAACAACAGGTGCTAACTACAAATCAATTTGAGTCAACTTTGTAAGAACTGAACTATGTGATTTTAAAGGGAAAATGAGCAATAAATAATAAAATACTTCCCAAAAGTACCCTATATCCTTATCTTCATGAGCATTAAAACCAAATGATAGGCTGCATTGTTGTAAAAATAATGGGAGATGTTATTTTTAATGACTTCTAAATTAAAAAATAAGCTTGTAATCAATGTTTAAATTTATTTCATTTTTTTGGTGGTGGGATGAAAATTATTTTATTTTTTAAAAGTTATCTTGCCCTAGCTCAGTGGTCAGCAAACTCATTAGTCAACAGAGCCAAATATCAACAGTACGACGATTGAAATTTCTTTTGAGAGCCAAATTTTTTAAACTTAAACTATATAGATAGGTACATTGTTATTAACTTAATTAGGGTACTCCTAAGTCTTAGGAAGAGCCACACTCAAGGGGCCAAAGAGCCGAATGTGGCTCGCGAGCCGCAGTTTGCCAACCACGGCCCTAGCTGGTTTGGCTCAGTGGATAGAGTGTTGGCCTGAGGGCTGAAAGGTCCCGAGTTCAATTCCGGTCAAGGGCACACTCCTGGGTTGTGGGCTCCATCCCCAGTGGGGGATGTGCAGGAGGCAGCCAATCAATGATTCTCTCTCATCATTGATGTTTCTATCTCTCCCTCTCCCTTCCTCTCTGCAATCAACAAAAATATATTTTTAAAAGTTATCTTTATTGTTGAAAGTTTTATAGATGTCCCCTTTGTTTTTTTCCCCATTGACCCCGTCCACCCCACTGAAAATTATTTTAAAGGAGAAAAGTAAACAATTAAAAAGTAACAATAATCTCTAAAACCCACTTAATCTTTCTTAATATTCTGATGTATATCTAAAGTTTTAAATGTACATTTGAATGTGTGTGTAATTTTAAAGTAGCAACATGCTAAATGTGCAGTTTATCTTTTTTTTAAAACATATATATTGGTGCCATGGCTGGGTAGCTCAGTTGGTCAGAGCATCAAGCAGATACAACCATGTTGCAGGTTCGATCCCTGGTCAGGGTACATACATAAAAGTTATCTTTATTGTTGAAAGTTTTATAGATGTCCCCTTTGTTTTTTTCCCCATTGACCCCGTCCACCCCACTGAAAATTATTTTAAAGGAGAAAAGTAAACAATTAAAAAGTAACAATAATCTCTAAAACCCACTTAATCTTTCTTAATATTCTGATGTATATCTAAAGTTTTAAATGTACATTTGAATGTGTGTGTAATTTTTAAAGTAGCAGCATGCTAAATGTGCAGTTTATCTTTTTTTTAAAACAGATATATTGGTGCCATGGCTGGGTAGCTCAGCTGGTCAGAGCATCAAGCAGATACACCCATGTTGCAGGTTCGATCCCTGGTCAGGGTACATACAGAATTAAACAATGAGCCTTACCTGGTGTGGCTCAGTTGGTTGACCATAGTCCCATGCACCAGAAGGTTGCCAGTTGAATTCCCAGTCAGGACATATACCCAGGTTACAAGTTAGATTCCCAGTTGGGGTGCACAGGGAGGCAACTGATCAATGTTTCTCTCTCATATGGACTTTTTTTTCTCTCTCCCCCCCGCTTCCTCTCTCAAAAAAAATTTTTTTTTAAAAAAGGACGTAAAGAAAAAGCTTTCAAAATTTTACCATTAAGTAATGTGTTGTAGGATTTTTTCTTGCAGATACTCTTTATTAAATTAATTTTCCTTCTACTCCTGTTATTGAAAACCCAAGTTAGGCTGCTCGCAGCTCTAAAGCCAATACTCCAGAAACAAGTGTTGGGTGAAAAGGAAATTTTGCTTTATTCAGGAAGACGGCAGGCTAATGTCCAAAGACCATCTCCAAAGTTCCATACCAAGCAGAAGAGTTTTAAAGGAGAGAAAGAAGGAAGGAGAGTTTCAGGGAACTGAGAGAAAAGTCTGTTTCTTCAGCCACACATAACACTTTTTCACATCAGATTTCTGGGCATCAGAAGCTGGTCTCAGCTACCTTGAAGACATTATTTCCTTCTGCAGCATAAGCTCATAAATACTCATGGCCACCCTGAAAGTATCTCCTGTTTGACAAAGAGACAGTACATCAGCAATTTATAACTACATTCCTGAGAACAAAAGGAGTTGAGCAGGAAAAGCTATTAACATGTGAACAAAGGCCAGAATAAGAATTAAATTATTTAATTCTAGCACCCAAAAATACCAGGGGCATTAAAATCAAAAGGGGCTCACCTGGCCAGCATGGCTCAGTGGTTGAGTGTGGACCTATGAACCAGGAGGTCACGATTCAATTGCCGGTCAGGGCACATGCCCAAGTTGCCGGCTCGAATCCCAGTGTGGGGCATGCAGGAGGCAGCCGATCAATGATTCTCTCTCATCATTGATGTTTCTCTCTCTCTCCCCCCTCTATCTGAAATCAATTTGTAAAAAAAATCACAAGAGGCTTGGTTATAGTCCTGGTTTTCCATGAGCACCCACAGTGTATACGTTTTTAATTTAATAATTTCTTGACATTTGAGATGATTATATTTTCTCCATTAATCAATAACCTTTTTTGTTGTTGTTAATCCTCACCTGAGAATACTTTTCCTTTGAATTTTAGAGAGTGGAAGGGAGAGACAGAGACAGAGAGAAAAGCATCTTTTTGAGACACATCCATTGGTTGTCTCCCACATGCACCTGGACCAGGACTGGGGCAGGCCAACGCTCTATCCACTGAGCCAAACGGGTTAGAGCAATCAATTACCTTTAATTCTTATGCTAAGACAACCTAACTGGCTCATATTGTATTATTCTATTTATATAACACTAGATTTGGTTAACTCCTTGCTTATGAGCTTCTAGATCTACATTTATGAGCAAAACTGGCATATGATGTTCCTTCATTTGCTGTTCCTGTCAGGTTTTCCTATCAGGGTTACTAGTTTACTAGGTTTCATAAAAAGTTGAAGTGTTCACCGTTTTTTGTGTTTGTTTTTTTAAAGATTTTTATTGATTTCAGAGAGGAAGGGAGAGGGAGATAGAAACATCAGTGACGAGAGAGGAATCATGGATTGGCTGCCTCCTGCACGCCCCCCACTGGGGATCAAGCCCACAACCCGGACCTGTGCCCTTGACTGGAATCCAACCTGGACCCTTCCGTCCGCAGGCGGCCGCTCTATCCACCGAGCCAAACCGGCCAGGGCTGTTCACTGTTTTCGTCGCCCTTTCCCCATATACCTGGAAGTATTTGATGAAGATGGAAATTTTGTTTTCCTTATGTTTGGCTGGACTTGCCAAAGAGCCAGGGCTGCCTGGAGTCTGCTTTGTGGGGAGATTTCGGACGACTCTTTTAAGTTTTTTAGTCGTTTTTCACATGGGCAAAGCACCTCCTTGGACCTCTCCATTCCCGAAAGCTCCGCAGGGACCTCGACCACAGAACTGGGGAAACGCGGCCAAGAGGCGGCCACAGCCCGCCAGGAAGGAAACCGCAAGATCACTCGGGAAGCAGCCGGCCCGCAACGCCCGTTTCCCCGGAAACCGTATTCTGACGTCACCACGCGGCAGCGTCCCCCTAGGACCGCAACGGAACCTATTGCATCTGGGACACGCGTGGATACCCGCCGGTCCTACGTCTGCAGCGGAGCGAGCTTCCGCGTGGTGCCCGGACACCTGCTTCTCCTTCCGGCCCAACTTCCCCTTCTAGCAAGAAGGGGCGTCCCCATTTCCGGGGAGCAAGTAGATTCAAGGAAATGGCGCCAGTCTCGGTGCCGCTGAAGATACTGAAGCCTTCACCGGGGCGCACGGGACTCGCTAACCGGTTGTAACCTTCCACAGGCCCCGCCCCGAGGGCCACGTGACGGCTCCGGCTCTGCTATCACGTGACTTTCGGTGGCTCGTGGCTGCTCTTTGTAGTAGTAGTTTCGGGCGCCAGTGCCTTTCTGGCCGCTCTGCTTACCCACCCGCCTTGGTCCCCGTCCCTAGGCGCATGCACAGCACAGGGCTTTCTCCTGCAGTGTCGCCCAGACCCCACTTCCCTTGCTCTCTCCGGGGTGCAGAGACGCGCGCCCGAGCCGTCCGCCCCTCTGGGCTCTGGAGGAGAAGGTAATCTCGGAACTGGCGGCCAGGGGAGCCGGGAACAGGAAGTTTTCGCTGGCGTCTGCTGAGACTTTCGCGGTCGCCACCCAGAGGCCCGTTGGCGCTCCGGTACTGGGTGTGTCTGGTGCTCGTAGTGATGGAGGTGGAGTAGGGACTCGCGTGCAGCATTGTCGCCGTCACCTCTCTCTCCCTTGGGCTCTTTTGGGAGGCGCCCCAGGCGTCCCACGAGTATATTCCCACCCGTAGGCAAAGCACAGCCGCTTCCTCCGCTGAGGCATTTCAGGGCGTTACACCACTTTCTGAATTTCTGCCCCGCAGCCTCTGCGTTTCAACCCCCCGCTCCCGGCTTAACTCAGACCTGCCCCATGGTCCATGTGGGCATATCAAATATAAATAGCCCCGGTTTTTTAGGGTTTTAGCTATCCAGTTAAAGGAATACCATCCTCCTGGTCCTCGATTTCCATCCCCACCCCATGTTAGTAGGACTGATCCACCGCTACTAGAGGTTTATTACTGTATCTGGTATTCCCCGTCCGCTCCTCTCAGGATATTTGGCATAATTTCCCCTGGTTACTCTGGTTGAAACACATTCTTCAAAAATATTTTCCTCCACTTATTAGGTTTGCTTGGGGTTTTTTTGTTTGTTTCTTGCTTTTGTTTGTTTTTTTCTTAGAGAAATATCCATGTGAGATGGAAACATCCATTGGCTGCCTCTTGCATGCCCCTTCACGGGGATCCAGTGTTAGAGTGTGGACTGAAGGGTCCCAGGTTCGATTGGGATAAGGGGCACATGCCAGGGCTGTGGGCTCAATCCCCAGTGGGGGGCTGCAGGAGGCAACCAGTCAATGATTCTTTCTCATCGATGTTTCTATTTCTTTCTATCCCTCTCCCTTCCTCTCTGAAATCAATAAAAATATAAAAAGAAAAAAAAGTGTGTTGTTAATATTGGAAAAAAAAATCAATAAACAGTGTGGTGCTGGGGGGTGGGAACGGCTGGGGAGAGGTCAATGGGGGAAAAGGAAACATATAATACTTAATGTGGATGAGAACTAACTGCTGATCGTCGAATAAAATTATAAAACTATAAACCAATAAAAAATAAAGAAAAATAAAGTTGTCTTTATGGATATATCATCAATATTTATCATATTGGATTTTAAAACAAAAAATGTTAGCCCACTAATACAGAAGTACACATTCCATTAGCTTTCAGAGTAACTAGTGGTAAAATCAACCCTGTTTCCTTAGAAAACTCCACTGTGAATGAGAATGAATAAGAGAGAAATGGGCAAATAAAGTCTTAGTGTTATTATGAAAATAGTTTTAGCCTTGCCAATTTTTGTAAAAAGCTTTGAGAACCACTGCTCAAAAAATAAAAATCACAGTTTAGAAACAGGGCCTTTCACTTCCTTGAACAATTTAGATAGGAGCCCTGTGGAACCTTAATCAGGATCTAGGCTGCTGGTGCAATATAGACAGTAACCCGTGGAATTTACAAGGTGTGCTCTGAAATGTTGTCCTAAACTCCTCGCTGGTATTTGTCCTTTAGTCTGGAGAAGATTCCTGTGTAAAAAATAACAGGTCATACCAAAGTAATTAAATATCAATTGCTGAGAAGGATAAACTTCAATTTAATGGGAAAAACCCCAGTTCCTGAAAAGGTATCAGAATTTCACCAGAAATTTCACAAGCTAAGAACTTGCTTGAAGAGAGCAACCATTAAAATAGGAAAGCATCTCTGATGAAGTGGGAAAAAATACTTGTTTTGCTATAAACTAAGAAGAAAATGTAAAGAGATCTATAGAAATGTTTAAGTTCATATGAAAAAATGCATAAGAATTCCATGAACCTTTTGGAGAAAAGATAGCTCTTAATGAAACAAAGCTGCTTGAGAAAGTTAAGTGAGGGCTTCCTATCAGTGACAGAAGAGGAAGTTGGAATGAGCAAAACATAAAGTTCAGGAAAGTCTGACAGTACGCCAGAGGTCTTCAAAAGAGAGGAAATAATCTCCTGATTGTAAGAGTGATGATGCTAAAGTTTTAAATAACTGTCTTGTGCAGATCATTTCTGAAACTGAGGAAAAAGTAATAGGAAAGTGCCGGAAGCCGTTCCAGCTGGACCCCGGCAGGAAAGTAATTGTATTTTCTGAATTAGACAAGAGAGAGCCAGGACTTATAAGTTGAGAAAGTGAGAGAAGACAGTTTTATCAGTTATCTGTTGCTGTGTAATAAACCACCACAAAACTTGGTGGCTTGCAGCAGTAGTGATTTCTTTCTATCTTTCATGATTATCTGGGTTGGGTAACAGTTTATCTGCTGGTTTTGCCTTAGGCTCACTCTTGCAGCTGCATTCAGCTGTGAGGTGGTTGGGCTGGAATGTCAAGGTGGTCTCACCCACATGTCTGGCAGTTGGTGCTGGCTGTCCTTTGAGCCTTGGTTCTTGTACATTTGACCTCCTGTTCTCTGGGCAGCATCGTAAGATAAGAGGGTGAAAGCAGAAGCTGCAGTTCTCTGGCTTGGAATCACATAACATCTCTTCTGCCACATTCCATTGATAAAAGCAAGTCACGAGGTCAGCCTAGATCAGTGATGGCAAACCTATGACACGCGTGTCAGAGGTGACACGCGAACTCATTTTTTTTGGTTGATTTTTCTTTGTTAAATGGCATTTAAATATATAAAATAAATATCAAAAACATAAGTCTTTGTTTTACTGTGGTTGCAAATATCAAAAAATTTCTATATGCGGCACGGCACCAGAGTTAAGTTAGGGTTTTTCAAAATGCTGGCACGCCGAGCTCAAAAGGTTCGCCATCACTGGCCTAGATTCAAAAGGTGGGGAAACAGACAACCTCTTGATGGGAGGAAGTGCAAAGTCATATTGCATAGGATCCTGGGAGGAGTTTATGGCCATATTTTGCAATTTATCACAGCAGGAAATGACATGGATGTGACAAAGATCCGAGCTATATTAACATTAGTTCAAGAAGAGAAAGCAGCCTGGCTGGAGTGGCTTAGTTGGTTGAGCTTCATCTGATTGCTAGTTCGATTCCCGGTTCAGGACACATAACTGGGTTGCACATTTGATCCCTGGTTGTGGCACATACAGAATGCAATTGATCAATGTTTCTCTCTCTTTCCTTCCCTCTCACTCTGTCTGAAAATCAATGGAAAAAATATCCTAGGGTGAGGATTAACAAACAAAAACAAAAAGAAAAAAAAGTACAACTAAAGAAAGAAAGAAAAAAAAGCATTTACAACTTTTAGCTGAGTGCTAAAATGTCAATTATACATGATTGGAAGAGAACCCAAAGTACTTGTTCACTGTAGTCACTGCAAGGCCTCTAGAAAGTGTATTATAAAGTTTCAAGCTAAAAATTGAACTCATTGATCAGACAGAATACCATACTGGAAGAATTTCAGCAGAAAAAACATTAGAAGCAGTCAGCAAAGGAAGGGGAATATTAAAATCAGTGAACTCAATAAAATAGAGATAAACTATAGAATATGAAAATATAAGACAACATTTTCTTCTGCACAAGAATGCCCATGACAATTGGATCCTTCCTCGTGAAATGAAAGAGCAGTTGCTGGAGAGATGAACTAAGCCAACTTTCTGAAACAGAAATTAATAGAAGAACAAATAAAAAAAAGTTGCTAGTACTCTGAAAACCAGGAATTGTTAAAGCAACTCCAAGAAAACATTTTGTAGTCTCTTCCCAAATAATACATCAATTTCATTTCTAAGATGCCAAATGCTTTGTTTCCTATTGTAATAAGAGTCTTTATAAAAATAGTAATACAATATCTAATGGCTCCCTCAATGAAGGATCTTTTAAATTCATGCCTGAGGGTGGATAAGTACAGTACTCCTCAGTAATGAAGAATGGTCTGTGAAATTACAGATACTCTGACCATTAATGGAAGAGATGTGCTTCGACTGGAACCCTGATGCTACTGCTAATCAGTATCCCCACAAATTCCCCCTTTTACCATCTTGGATGGCTTGGTTCACTCTGGTCCAAATCCCAACCCTCCTTTGCACTGTCTATCACAAGCTCACCACCAGCAGGACTTCTACCTCCTTCTGGTCAGTTTGGACCACCTTGCTCTCCACTTCATGGGCATAAAACTTTTCTTCCATACCTTGTTCCTGGAAGGACTCCACCTTAGGCCTAAGAGAAAGCACACCTGGCCTCTACCTGAAATAACAGCCTTGTTCCATGATTGTTAAATCTGTAAACATAGACCTCCACCTTTTATCTTTAGTAATATGATTTTGATAATTATAAGTAATGATGCTCTTAATATGTACTTTGATGCACATATACATGCATTTCTGTTGGGTAAATACCTCGGAGAGAATTTGTTGGGTCACAGGGTATGCATATATTCAACTTTAGCAGATAGTATCAGTTTTCCAAAGAGGTAGTACATAGCTAAAAGATTATATGTATACATATACATATATATGCATATATATATACACACACACATATAAAAGCAGCCTTGACTGGCCGGTATGGCTCAGTGGTTTAATGTCCACCTATGAACCAGGAGGTCATGGCTCGATTCCTGGTCAGGGCACATGCCTGGGTTGTGGGCTCAGTGTGGGGTGTACAGAAGGCAGCCAATCATTGATGTTTCTCTCTCTCCCTCTCCCTTCCTATTAAAAAATAAATAAAAGCAGCCTCACCAAACCGGTTTGGCTCAGTGAATAGAGCCTCAGCCTGCGGATTGAAAGGTCCCAGGTTCGATTCCGGTCAAGGGCATGTACCTTGGTTGTGGGCACATCCCCAGTAGGAGGTGTGCAGGAGGCGGCGGGTCGATGTTTCTCTCTCATCGATGTTTCTAACTCTATATCCCTCTCCCTTTCTCTCTGTAAAAAATCAATAAAATGTATTTTTAAAAAAGCAGCCTCTTTGTCTTTCACTTAAGATTAACTTATTGAAGACCCCAAAGCAATTTTGTATGGAAAATAAGAGTTAACCTATGAAACACAGATATAGTGTGTGTGTGTGCATCAAAACACCAGTAGAATTTTGTTTTGCTTCTGATTGGGACAAGGGTCACAATAATTTCTCCACCAAATAGACCATTTCTTTTCTACAGGGTGGGGCAAAAGTAGGTTTACAGTTATAACTATTCTTATACTGTTATTTATTACTTATTGTATTATTTTCCATATGGACAACTGTAAACCTACTTTTGTAATTCACTCCCTGTTTAATTCAGAACCCTATTTCCTAGCATATTTCAATGAAAGTTGAATGAGTGAATTAATAGGTCTTCTCTATAGATTGGTTAAACACACACACTTCAATAAAGAGGCAGCCAATCAATGATTCTCTCTCATCATTGATGTTTCTATTTCTCTCTCCCTCTCCCTTCCTCTCTCTGAAATTAATTAAAACATATTTAAAAAAATAAAATACAGTTCATTTTAAAAATTGAGCTATCAGCTGGTAAAGTGTGTATACATTTTTTGGGGACACCCTGTGAATTAAAAAATTTGCAATTATTGTCTCTGAGGTAATCTAAACAACAGTTCACATAGCAAGCTTTAGGGGGATTCTATGTATCCATTATACAGCTTTCACCTTATTGCATTTGGAACTTTTAGTTGGGACTAAATAAATTAATAAACTATATGGCTAATTTTTAATTTTCATTGTAACTGATAATATAGAGGTATTTTGATATATTAGGCACACAACACTGTTCTCTGTGCCATGAATCCAGTTGATTTTCTAGTGGGCTCACTTCAGTTTCCAAAACTATGAAGTGCTTCATAGATTCACACAGTGCTTTTCAGCATTTGAAGTATTTGACATTTTACATTATATTCTTTGATGCTCAAAAGTGCTTGGAGAAGTCAGCAAGGCTGGTATGTGTGTCTCATTTTTTTGGTTAAAAAAAGAGAGACTTGCCTAGCTGGTTTGGCTCAGTGGATAGAGTGTTGGCCTGTGGACTGAAAGGTCTCGGGTTTGATTCAGGTCAAGAGCACATGTTCGGGTTTCGGGCTCAATCCCCAGGAGGAAGCAGGAAGCAGCCAATCAATGATTCTCTGTCATCATTGATGTTTCTATCTCTCCTTCTCCCTTCCTCTCTGAAATAAATTAAAATATATATATTTTTTAAAAGAGAGACTTTATCTACTGTGTTCATCAAATGTTGTTTGTGCAACATCATGCATCTACAAATGAACTGGAATTCAGGTTTCCAGACTTTTTACTCTGATGTACCAAGGACCCTGGTTTTCAGTAGCTGTTTGACATATTTCTTTTTTTTATCTTTAATTTCTTTATTGGTTAAGGTATTACAAATGTGTTCTCATCCCCCCCTTAACCCCCAACCTCCCTCCCCCCAACTCATGCTCTCATCCCCCTGTTGTCCGTGTCCATTGGTTTGGCTTATATGCATGCATACAAGTCCTTTAGTTGATCTCTGACATATTTCTTAATCTCTGTACTTCAGTTTTCATGTCTGTAACAAGGAGATAATAGCTATTCATTGAACGAGCACAATTGTTAATTTAATTAACATATGCAAAGCTCTTAAAACAGTATCAAGGTCACAGTAAGTGTTAAATAAATGTTAAATGATATGTTTATTGTTTTAGCATATCCAATTTACTTGTAAGGAGGGTTGGGATCATCACAGTATATACATTTGGAAAATTCCCAGTTGAGTGTACATGTTAGAGGCAAGTTTCAGACGTGTCTGTGGGTAGTAGAACTTAAATCTTGTTTATCATTTAACCACTAAAAAAATGTAGTGGTCCAACAATCCCACTCGTCTCACTTAACCACATTTAATTTGTCCTTGAAATGCTCCTCCCAGCGAGAAAAGACTTCAAGGGCGTGGCAAGTGGTATTTGAGGTATTTAAAAAAGCAGAAATCAATGAACTGTAATAGAAAAATCCAGCATATTAGAGAGCCCAAGTGTGCTCGGTAGTGTAACGATCTACCCAATCTTTCTTAGCAGAGAAGATGTTACGGGAAACTCCACATCAGACGCAGCTGGGAACTCTGTCGAAGTTAAAAAAAAAAAGAGAAAGTTTCAGTTTTGTGAAACATCTGGTGCTCAGCCATCTGTTTTTGCCTGCACAAACAAATGCTTAAGGTCGGTGCGGTTTCCTTAGGACACCTTGCAAGGCGGAGTGACAGCGCTGGAGCAACAAGTTGCGGCGAGCAGCTAATTTAAGCACGTTCTCGGGGTCGGAGGCACCTGCACTTCCTGTTACTACAGTTCGGGCCACACTGCTGTCATCCCTAGCTTTTTGGAGACACCCCCAGCCCATATTCCTACTGGGGCCACCCTCTGGTGTCTCCAGCTCAAGTGCAGGGCTTGACCTCCGCCCGCAGTTGCCCCAAAACACGGGAGTTTCGCTCCCCCAGGCCAATAACACGGCCTCTAGCTTGAATTATTTGTTAAAAGGTGAGCAGGTGGACGCCCTTCAGGCACTCGGGACTTCCCATTGTGGTTGAGAGTTAGATGCCGTGGACACACGACGCCGGCTAAACTCCACCGGGCATTGAGGCCCCACCCATGGCAACGCCACTCCGACGTCC